AACGCGCCGTGCGTGGGGGGGCGATATCCTCAGATGCACTACCTACCCCACACGACGGCCGGGAAAAAACAAAGTTTCAATACGGGTGTAAATATGAATCGTATGGGACAAGGACGATGACGAAAATGAGAGAAAAAGGAGGGAGGGAGGAAAGAAACAGGGGAGCCCGTCTGTTTTTCTGATCTTTATTCTTATGAGTAATATTATAGTTACTCTTGTTCGTATTATTAGTCTTAGTCTTATTCTTATTTGTATTCTGACTAGTATTATTTGTGTTATTGTACCTCTTGTTTTTTTGGCAAGCTGTCGTAATTAGTTTGTGCGGGTGCGGTGCTAAGAAAACGCGCCGTGCGTGGCGGGGGCGATGTCCTCGGATGTACTACCCCACACGACGGCCGGGTAAAAGCAATTTGTTTCAACAGGGGTGGTAATACAAGTCGCAACGGACAAGGATGGTGAAGATCATGAGACAATTCTATGTTGTAATTTGTTTTATCATGTTCAGATTTAGTATTATTATATTATGACTGGTATCACCAGTATTAGTATGCTTCTTAGTCTTATTAAACTTATTCGTAATATTTGCATGAGTAATATTATTGGTATTATTACTCTTATTATGAGTATGATCATTATTATCAGTATTATTAGTACTCCGATTATGAATATTATTGTTCTTAGTCGTATTATAACTATTATCATTATTCTTCTTCTTAGTATTATTTCTAGTCCTGTTCTTATTACTCGTGTGTCAGTCTTCTTCTCCTTCCAATTCCAATTGGGATACCACCCGAGCCGGGGCGCGGGAATTATTTATTGTCGTTCCATTTGCGCCGTGCTAATCATATCGTTCGGCGAGAACCGCCCCCAACAAATATTTGATTACGGTGCGGTGCTAATGATAACCCCGTGGGGGCCCTTACTGGCTTGATGGGATGATTACTACCGTGTTGGAATGAATGGGTTGGGAGAAATTGTCATACCATCCGTGTTACCGCGTATGTTGGATGGACTCGTGACACAGTCGTGCCTTGCATCTTGCTATTTCCGTTCCCCCAGCACGATACATAATGTTTCTCAGAAGTGAGGGGGGGAAGAAAGGCAGGTGCTTTTATAGGGTCCCTGAAGGCGCCCCTCTGCGGCCCCAAGAGGGGCACCAGAGGCGCACGCTGTTTCGCCCCCCCCCCCCCACTCATCGCCCCCCCACCAGGCAACGCCCAAACCTCCGGGGCAGCGTTACAGTCAAGACGCTGAAAGGGGGGCCACTGTGGGCCAGTCCGCGCTTCTTCCTCGTCGGCGGCGAGCGAGGGGGGGGAAGTGAGAAGGAGAAGGCCTTCTCAGAAGGTGGCGGGACTTCTCAGAAGCCCTCGCACCTTCTGAGAGGTTTTCTGCGTCTTCGGGGAAGGTTTGGAAAAGCTCTCAGAAGGCCGGGGACCTCCGAGCCTTCTGAGAAGGCTTTCTGCTTCTCACTTCCCCCCCTCGCTCGCCGCCGAACCTTGAGCCGGCCCGTGATTACTCCTCGGATCTGTTGCACCCTCCCTCTCTGTGTCTGTCTTGCCCGTCTGTTTCCCGCCAGAGGTCGCCCAGCTTCCAGCACCACGTGCCGCGGCCGCCGGGCCCCAGGGCGCCCAGGGGTCCCGCCGCGCCCGCCAGCCCTCCATGCTGTGGCCGCCAGGCCCGAGGATTCCAGAGTGCCCCGCCTCGGTGGGCCCCGAGCATCGAAGCGATAAAAGCATCCCACGACTGATCAGGCATGGCAGGCGTCACGGCGTCACGCCGTCCACATATTTGTAAGACTGGTCAAGGCCGATAAGGAGATTGAGGGGGAAGGAACCAGCGACGGAACAGCCATCGGGACCACCGTTTCCATCCATCGAACAACCTCTATCGTTCCTACTATCCCTCGGCCTTGCGATCCATGTATCGATTTCACAATCGCTCTAGTTGACGAGCTATCGTTTTATCGATGGTACGATCGACCTTACTATTCATCTACCGATCTCACTAGCTATCGATACCACTATCTATCTATCGATCTCATTCGATATCACTGGCCATCGATCGCACGATTAAAACGGACCATCGATTTCTCGATCAGCCTAAAAACTACCTATCGATCTCAAACTATATATCTGTGGATCTGCCGATCTGTCCATCGGGACAACCAGCGCATGTGTTTGTGGCATTTGTCCAAAGGCTCGAGGCGCCAAGTGCGCCAAGCGCTTTTTCCCCATCAGACAACCATCCGGACAACCATCGGAGCAACCATCGGGACAAACATCGGGACAACCATCGGGACAACCATCGGGACAAACATCGGCACAACCATCGGGACAACCTTTGGCACGACCCTCGGGACAGCCCTCGGGACAGCCATCGGGACAAGCATCGGGAAAACAACGGGACAACCACGGGCAAACCACGGGCCCAATCCGCCAATTGGACGTGAGGAGAGACTTCTGTTTCGACGCTTGAACAACGCTGGGATCATTCCTTTCTCATGCGCAGACAGCTTGGCCTCGCCCGCACGCACGGCACGATCACGAAACCGGCACCAACTCTCTGGTGGGGAAGTATCCGTTTCACTTCGACCTCGCCCCACAGCCTCCGACATCTAGAGCGTGCATCCATGCTAGGCACACGATTAGACACCATTAGCATGCATCAGACACAGACTCAAGAAACGACGTCGAGGTCACACATAAACACACCTGGAGCTGACAAGATAAGCATAGAGCACTAATCCGTAGCCATTTTGGCTCAAGCCATTTTGGCCCAAGGTTTGGGGCCCGACCATCTTCAGAATTCAAAGTCACATCCTCGGCGGCATGGCACTGCATGGCACTGCATTATTGTTGTGGATCTTCATCACCCCGGCGTATGCAGTTTGGAACCATTCAGGCACAGAGTGGACACCACGTGCAGACAAGCATGCGACATATTTTGTTTTTTCGGGGAACGATGACGTACTCAAAGAGGCTAGCCTTTCTATCTATTCTTTGTGCAGACTCGATCCGTCTGTAAGGGTGTTGATGGTCACAGATGAAGAAAACAAGGATGCGACTGCACGCGCAGTCACCGCAATCAGCGAAGCATGTTGGAATGTTGCAAGGCCTGAGCACTTGTCAATGGTTATCGCGAACATAACCGAAATATCGCGTATAGTTTCCTCACATGGTTACACCAAACTTGCGCACCATTCTGGTTTTGGAGGCTATGCCAAAATGATTGCTGCTAACTTGATTCCCGAATCGATCGATCGCACGATTGTGCTTGACACAGACACAGTATTCAATGCCGCATTTGAACAGCTCTGGAGGCAATTCGATAAGTTCAGCCCTGAACAGTTGCTAATGGGCAAACGGCTCAACGATTACTTGTGCGTCCATGGAGGCAACCGTATCAATAGTGGTGTCGTCCTCATGGATTTAAGACGCATGCGGGACATTGGTTGGACTGAACTTGTGATGAGTGAGAGCAGGAATTGCCACCATTGCATCGCTGGCGAAACACTGTCTTGTGGAGATCAGGAGCTTATTTCGTTCGCTTGCCAACAGAGACCTGGAGCGTGCAGTAGTTTTGACGTGAGGTTCCACTACGACTTCTGCAACGAAAGGAAGAACAATGCATGGTGGAACAGCGATAAAGCAACCATCTATCATTTTAATTGTGGAGGGGATGTGAGTCAATGCCCAGGACACGAGTGCAAATATAGCGTTGTAGAATGGAATAACCATTTCTTCCAACAAGCCGACCAGGCGTCATCGGCGCATCTCCTCGTTCTCCTCCTCGTGCTCCTCCTTGTCGCTATCCTCTTCCTTGGTGTCTCTTTTTTAAGAGCCAGGGGACAGCGGACATCGGTCGACAGGGTTTCGCAGATGGTGTGTTTGATTTGAGCACGCGGGCATTGATGCCCCTGAAGTAATAGGATCATGCCATCATTGGCCTCGGCATGTATAATCTTATGTTTGGTAATTGATTCCATTCCTGCTTGGTAGACACCGAAGCGTGTACAGGACGTTTTCTCAGGTTTGTATTGAATTGACAGCCAGGTTGATTCCCCAGGACTCTGTCTGATGGCTCTCATGGGGGACCTACCACATTAAAACAGGTGTTTGGTCAGCGCAATCGTAGGGCTGGTCAGCGTCCGCTGCCTTCCAGTTCGTCCCTTCTTTCTCCTTCATATCATTATCCTTCTTTCCTGCACCGCTTGCTCGCCCTCTCCCAGGCCTTCCTCATCCAACTCTTCAACGCGATGCCCCTTGCAGGCTTGGCAAAGTTTGGCAAAGTCCCAGCACGATGGCGCTTTATTTGGCTTGTTTCGCAACAGGCGACGTCGTCGCACGTGACTCTTCGTGCCGAGGCATGTTACAGGTCTTGTGGTGTCACCAATGCGAGGGCGCAGACCATCTGCCACTACCAGGCGCGTGTGAGGGTGTGGCCTCAAAAAAAAAAGATAAGCATAGAGCACTAACAGACATCAAGAACATGCGCTGGAGAAGAACTCCCTGGTCCTTCAGAGGCAAGCCAGCCCACAGAGCGCTCGACCTTGGACCGCCGCTTTATCATACAATTGATCCCCACGCGCCCCGTCTTACCACGACTGCTAGCCTGTTTTGCATCGGCGGCGAGCCCAGGGGGAAGTGAGAAGGAGAAGGCCTTCTGAGAAGGCTCCGAAGTCCCTTGGCCTTGTGAGAAATGTTCTAAGCCTTCCGGGAAGACACATCATACTTTTCAGAAGGCTGGAGGGCTTCTGAACAGCTCCGCCGCCCTCTGAGAAGGCCTTCTCCTTGCCACTTCCCCCCGCCTCGGTCGCCGCCGACAGGAGGCATACGAGATTAGCATCGTCCTGCCAGCAGGTGCCCCACGGATTTTTGTTTGTCTTGCAGCCCAGATGGCCACGGACACCCACAGAAGCTCTGGGACACATTCCACGACCCTCAGAGGTCGACGAACCGTGTGCCCTAAGACTCGAATTCTCATCCCCTGTGTCTGGATGAATGCTCCTGCTGCTGCCACCACTCGGCAGCCATTCAAGCTCTAGAGCACCCAGGCCTCTGCCATCGCGCGCCCAGCAAGGCCCGGCAGCGCTGCGGCGGCGGAGCGAGTCCGGCATGGCAACCGACGCGCACGCGCGCAGGGCTGCCAGCTCCGGGGACCTTTCGGTCGCGGACGAGTTGCCGCCCGGCCACGTCAGCGTGTCGGCGCAGTGCACGACGCACCAGCTGGTGCTGGGGCCGGAGGCCATCCCCGAGGATCGAGGAAGGAAAAATGCACAAATATAGATTCCCGGAGTTCCGCGCGGATTAGATTGGTTCGGCCCTGGACGCTCCTGGCGGCGTCTGCGGCGCCGCCCCTGTTGCGCTCCGTGCGCCAGGGAGAGGGTCCATCGCTCCATCGCCAAGGCAAGGAGTCCGAGCGGACCTCCGAAAGTTCATGTTTGCGCAGGTAGTTGTTTCATCTCCAAGAGGTCGTCCCTGAGGAGGTGCACGTGTGCCAGGAGAGGTACGACCCGCGCAGGCCGCAATACGTAAAAAAGGCGACATATCTCGAGGTCCTGGACGGAGAGATCCGCCTCCTGGCGCAGCAGCTCTCCAGCATCGAGTCCATGCTGGCCAGAAGGGAGAAGGCCGACCCGGACTCCCCGCCGGTGCAGGACCTCGAAGAATAACAAACGCCATAAACAACTTTGCGAGGGTCCGCGCGGAGTTCTTGGATCGGCGCTGGGTCCCCCTGGCGGCGCCTCCGGCACCGCCCCTGGCGCGCTCCTCGCGCCAGGGAGTGGGGTCCAGCACCGATCCAAGACAATCCGCGCGGACCCTCGAAAGTGTATGTTCATGGCGCTCTGGGGTCCAGCACCGGTCCAGGAAAGTCAGGGCGGACCCTCGAAAGTAGAAGTGCATGACGGTTTCCTTCGTCTAATCAGGACTACCGGCGCAAGGCGTGCGAGCTGCGGCGCCTGGTGGACGCGGCTAGGGCGCTGCGGGCCGCGCTGGAGCCTACGCCGGCGGTCGGGGGGAGAAAGGATACCGGAACCGCTGCTCGTCTTGGGGAGCCCTCGTCGCCACGGCTGGGTTCTCCTCGAAGCTCGACGCACCACTGGAGAGGTCCGTGGAGTAGCGGCATTCGTGTGCGAATCACATGCCCATACCCGCGGCCTCGCGGGCAGGGCCCCTGGGCCCCGACCCCGCGGACATGGGGCGTTGTTTCGCGGATGCCCCTCGCGGAACGTATCCGTGCGACCGCGTATCCGCAGGATCGCGCGCCTGTATCCAGACCGCGAAGGCGCGGATATGGATATGTTCGCCGCTCGTGAGGTGGCGCCCGCGGCGGCTGTGAAGCCGCCCAGGGCTGCCCGCTGGTCTGCGGGCCGTAGGCGGCAGGACAGCGACTCGTCGACCAGCTGCGCGTCGAACCCGCGGGACGGCCTGCCCGCAGTCTGCTGCAGCGAGTAGGTAGCAGGTTATCCAGCTGCCCGCAGCAGACCCCGCCGCCGTGCTAGGTTTGAGGTTCGAGGTTTGACGTTTTTGGATGTTTTCGTAGGCTCTCGCCAGCTTTCCAGCCTCTTGATGGTTGGCCTTTGGTTGGCCCCCTCGTCGCCACGGCTGGACGCAGCTCGGGAAGCTGATGCGGTTGAACCCCGGCGGGGGGGGTCTGGAGACCGATGCTGAGCTGCCTTTGTACCAACCCGCCCTGCTCCGAGGGAGGTCGAGCTTAAGACCCGCTCCAGCACAGTGCCTCGCCTGAACCGTGAGGCCGCGGGGGTCTGAAACACCCCGCCCTCGGCTCCTCTCCCGTGTCTTCGCGCTCCCTCCGGAATTGGAGGTTGATAGACCTCCTACCTTGACACGTCGATTAGCGAATTGGCCGTTCTCGGTTCGCGAGAGGGCGTCGCGGCCGTCATTTTTGCGGGTCCAGGTCCGTCGGTTTCGGTCCCAGGGGGAGGTTTACCAAAGGGAGGTTTGTCCACCGCCGACAGAAGGCATCCGGGAGGCTTCTCGGGAGTTCCCTGGGGCCCCTCGAGGCCCTCCTGGGTCCTCTCGGGGGCTTCGCGGGGGCGGTCGCTTGCTCGTGGGGGGGGGCTCTTCGTGGGCTGCAGGTCCGTCTCAGGCGGGGCGGCTCCACGGAGGTCCCCCGAGGAGGCTCGAGTCAGAGGGGAGGACGAGGGAGGATTGAGGAGGAAGGGGGGGGGATGAGGATTGGGAGGGGGGGGAGACTGCCTCCGCGGCCACTCGCTTCTGCAGCTACATGCCCGATGCCTCAGCTTTCTCTTTTTGTTCCTTTTCCCTTCTCCACTTCCCCTTTCCCGCTTCACCCCTCCCCTCTTTTCCACTGGTAAGGTGTTGTGGAAGTCCTGGGGCCCACTTGGAATCTGGGGGGTGTGATGTCTTGCGGGTTGTTTAGGCCGTCTTGGGATGCTCTCGGGGCCTTCTTGGGGCCGTCTTGGGCCGTTCTGGGCGCTCCCAGGCGCTCTCTCAAACCTTCTCGAGGCGATGTGAAGCCGACAAACCGCGGAAGCATCTTCATCGATTTCTGGTGTGTGTGTGTGTGTGCGCGTGTGCGTGTTTCAATGTTTGTTCACATTTGAGATTTGAGGGCCTCACTGGATGCCTCTTCGGGCGTCTCGTAGAGGCCTCGTGGGGCATCTTGGAGCCTAAGGAAGCTCGTTCAGCAGTCTTTCGATGGTCAAGCGGCGTCCTGCAGCTGTTTCAGGGCGGTCGTTGGCTGTCTTGGAGCCGCCTGGAAGCCGAGCGGTGTAGTCTTAGGCCGTCTTGGGGCGCTCTTGGGGCTGCCTTTGGCCATTTGGGAAATTTCTGGGCGCTCTCTGAAGCAACCCTCCCAAGGCGATCTGACGCCAGAAAGCCTCGGAGCAATTCACACATTGACTCAGTTTTCCATGTTATTTAGCCTCTCCGGGCCTCGGTGGAGGCGTCTTAGGGCGCTTCTGGGAAATCTCTTGGAGCCTCTTTGGGCGTCTTTGTTGGGTCTTGGAGCTCTTTGGGGCTCGTTGGGCCGTCCTTGGATGGTCATGCGGCGTTCTGCAGAAGTTTTAGGGCGGCCTTTGGCTGTCTTGGGGCCGCATGGAAGCCGAAAGTGCGCTCTGTGGGCTGTCTTGGGGCGTTCTTGCCGCCGTGTGTGGCCTCTCTGAAGCCTTCCCGAGGCGGTCTGAAGCCGAAAAGTCCCAGAAGCAAGGCGCAAGATTTCCTGCATGTTTTCGATACCCCCACGCGGCAAGAGTTGGGGTTGCTAGATTTACATAAGAGAGCTCCCGACCCGCCTCGCACACCCTCCATACCGCGGCCATCAGACCCGAAGTGCTCTGCTGCTCCCTTGGCATCCCGTCTCCTGCCTTCGACGGAACACGGTTGCATGCCGCGGTTTGCATGCGCAAAGTGTTCCGAGGCTCCCTGGGTTTCCCGCCTTGCGTTCTTGGGTGGGGGTCGCTCAAAGCAAAACACCTACTGTTCGCCTGTGAGGACCTCGCTGGAGGCCTCTTCAAGCGCCTCTGGGAGGCTTCGTGGAGCGTCTTTGAGGCATCTAGGACAATGTGTGTGTAACCTTTGGGGGCACGCTCGGCCGTCTTTGGATTGGCTTGACCATCTTGCAGCCTTCTCCAGACGATCTTTGTCTCGCGGTCTTTGGCTTTCTTGGAGCCGTCTGGATGCCGAGAAGGGCGCCGGAAATCAAACCTGGAGGGACGGTTTTTGAGGATGGCTGCGGCGAGGAGGAGTGGCCAGCCCCGGAACACTACAGAAACCCCACCAGACAACAGAGTAATTTTCTGACATCCAAGCAGCGTGCCATAGGCCCTGTGGTGGATAGTCGTATTTGCCTCCTTTCTCTGCCCCTCTTTTTCGCCCTTCAGGGGGAACTTTATAGGGGGGATCGGCTCAGGGGGGGTACGCATCGACTTCCCTTCGCCCACTGATCGCCGACTCGGGCCTGATAGCCTACCCCGTCCAGGAACGTGCAGATTCGCAATCCTGGGCCTATCGCAGACCCCTGCCAGGAGGGATATATGATATCAATGGCACGTCGCCAGCGCGAACGCGTCAGCTTGTTGCTCTTCTCTTTTGTCCGACAGCCTGCTGTACCTTCAGCAGCAGCACGCTAATGGGTTCCCAACGGCGTGTTATTGATGGGGGAAGGCAGTTCCAGGTCGATGGTTACCCCCTAAGCTGTTCCCCCCCTAACTCATAGCTGGCTGCCCCGTCAGGGCCGCGCGAGTCTCGTTCGCACGCCGGGTGAGTTGGCCTTCTGTCCGCCGTCCGGCGATGTTCGGAAAGCACGGCTGCCCCGAATTCGTGCCCGCCTCGCGCGTTTCTTCGAAGAACAGAAATCGGCATGAACATGCTTACTTGGAGGTCCGCGCGGATTTCTTGGATCGGCGTTCGGCCCCTCTGGCAGGGCCTCCACCGTCCCGCCCCTGGCGCGCTCCGCGCGCCAGTGAGGGGTTCCAGCGCCGATCCAAGAAATCCGCGCAGACCTCCGAGCATTATGTTTATGTCGATGTTGTTCCTCTAGCCTCATCCTGCGGTCCCCGTGGCCTTGCATGCCGAAGGACACTTCGATTCATGGGCAGGCGCTGGCATTGTATTGCCCTGATTTGCCACGTTCGTGAGACCGCGAGTGCATGATTCGTTTGCGTGGCGCCGTGTCCTCGGCTGTCCCTGAAGTGTTTGAAGTGCCATAGAGTGTGTAGCAGAAGTGTCCACATTCGCCGTGCACTCGGATGTTTAACGTTTAATATAACCAGGACACGCGCCGCGAGTATGGACGGTAAGTCCACGTTCCCAGACCTCTGGCGTTTTGGCTGCTCTGCGCGTGGGCTTGGGAATTCTCGTCCCGATCACTGGAATTTCATGCTGTGGGGCATTGTCGTGCGAGACTTGACATCCGCAACTGGAGGCCCACACGTAGAAAACACAGCAAAGAAACAAAGACGTGGTGATTTGTGTCGAGATCCTGGAGGTCTGAGCTAAACGCGAAGTGTCTAACATGTTGTTGGCCGCGTGGCGTAAAAAAAGACCACCACCCTAACGCACGATCGCACCAATACCACGCTCCAGCGGGAGGGGGCAAGGAGCGAATCCCGAGTACAAGCCTCGGCCTGATGAGGGAGGAGCAGCAGCAGCAGCAGAAGCAGCACTGATGGTGGGTAAGATGCTGAGGAGGAAGAGTACACGCCGGTCGTCGAAAGTGGGTATTCCTAGAGTCCTAGATCCCAATCTACTTTCGGCGCCTTCCTGCTTCAAGGATCGAGTGGTTCTCCTTTGTCCTTGTCTTCAGGGGTTGAGCGGAAGCCCAATCCACTTCCAGCGCCTTGTCTGGTCGGTCCCGCGCAACGGCCTTTTGCCGCTGAATATTGCGATGGTGTCGGCGCGATTGGTTGCTATCAATGTGGCAGAGATGGTTGGCGCAGGTTTAGAGAGCACATCGCAATGATATCCCCTATCACCTCCTGGCGTGGTGCAGTTCATGAGCGACCGGAGCTTCACGATAGAGCTGAAGACCCCACCTACGGTAGCGCTGCTCGTCAAGGCGGCCGGCGCTGAGAAAGGCTCAGGCCCTTCTCGCTTTCGTTTGTCAATTGTTATGTTTCTGCCTCTCTTTATCTCTCTCTTTCCTCTGTCTCCCTCTGCCTAGATCCCTCTCTGTCTACTTCTCTTTTGCAGTTTGTTAGCACATGCATGTACACAGTTGTCTCGATTATGTTTTTCTTTCTCGTTTCTCCAGTACCTTCCCTCCCTGTCTCATACCGCCATCCCCCTAACTGGTCTGTCTTACGTGGAGCGGCACCACCACCATCACCAGCGGACAGCCTCCAGCGAGGATGCGAGGATGGTGACGGTGCCTCCTCGAGCTGAAGATTGGAGACGTCTCAAGCGGGACGCCGAAAACCAAGGGGACCACACCACCAGGACAACTTTCCCTACTTAGTTTCGCTTGCCTGTGGTGGTGGTGACATCTTTCCGTGCTCCTCGGAGGGACCCACGGACAGAGACGACGGCATAAAGAAGTACATTGGCATTGGCGGGATAATGGGCCGACTGTCGCGCATCTCGGAGAAGTCTCTCCGTATCTCAGCGGCCTATCAGGTCAGGGGAGCGAAGCTTTGGGTCGAGGTTCGATGTTTAATTGTAATGTTTCTTGGGCGTTTTTTGGCTTTGGGGGGGGGGGGGCTCCGGGGGCCTCTCATGGCCACGCGCCTCGAAGCGCCGCCTTGGGGGCCGTCCCGAGCCGTCTTGGAGCGCTCCTGAGCCGTCTCGCGGCCCTCGGAACTCCCTCGGGGCACTCTGGGACTGCAGTGGGGGTCGGGCAGCCCGCGCCCGGGAGTC